TCATGTGACATCCCCCCTTTTTGGGACAACTATTGGCATAATGTCTGGCTTCAAGGTCTCTAGAGATAGCACAGAGGTGTGTGTGTGTGTGTGTGTAAGTGAAACATGGAGGAAGACAGGGGGGAATTCAAGAAGCAAAATGCTCTGAAATGGCTGACCTTCCTCCCCCCCCCCCCCCCCCGTGCTGCTGCACAGTAGTGGGACAGAAACAGTGTGGGTGATGATGGGGGCAGCATCTTCCCACTTTGGGCAGCAGGCGAGCTTGTTACCAGCATAGCCTGACAGAAACAAAACCCTCCTGCAGGACCAAGACCGCGGCTTCGCTCTCTCCTGCCTGCTTCGTAATTCCCCATTCATGGCCCTTCCTTGCCCTGGTTTTGAATTGCTTTTCCTCCGCGTGCGTGTGTGTTTCATTTTGTCTTGGTTCCTGGTACAGAGCTTCGGCATGGCACGGACCCCTTTCCCCTTTGTCTAGAGGCTTTGTTTCCCCCTCTCTTCTTTGCCTCCCTTTCACTCGCCCACCAGACGGACGGCCTGCTCTTAATACCTTTTTAATGCCCCATCTTCCCAGAGCCAGATGGAAATCCAGAGCCGTCCTCGGGGAGATGCCGGAGATTGCCACGCATGTCGTCCAGTCGACCCACTTCTGAGCCCTCCTGGCAGACCGGTCGCTCTTTGGGGGACTCGCGAGGGCACGGCTTGGGGGGGCAGAGTGGCAGCCCTTACGGGGGGGGCTCAAGCCCTCCTGAGGGGAACCGTGCGGCCCGGCCCTTTCGGCGGGCCATGAAGAGGGCCGAACCTCCGTATTCCAGCTGGGATGGGAACCTGGCGCAGGGGTGGCTGGTGCCCATCAGCTATGGCAGGGCCGGGACACGGGGAAACCGTGAGGGCAGGCAGAGGAGACAGCTATGGAGACACGTCCCCCCCCCCCAACTTGGCAAAGACCCTAAGTACCAACACATTCCAATTATTTCTGAAGAGCCACGGTCTTCCGGCCACCAGCCTGCCCACACGGCTGAAGCTGCCACCCGGGGCAAGGGCTGTTGGCCTTTGCGTTTTGGCCGAGCTCCTTACGGGCCCATCCACAGTCTCTGGCTGTCCTGGGTTGCTCTGGTGTTTCTCACTCCCGAATTGAAGAGACCATCCTGGGGTGTGCTGGGGGGGTCGGTATTTGTTGCTGGGCGTACTAGGATGCACGGACACTGCCTGTCTACACCCATCCAGAAGGACTGACTCCTGGCCTGCTCTGGTCCCGCACCGGCTGCCCTCCCTTTTTGTCTAGGAGATCGTCTCCATCCTCTCCCTGTCTATTCCACTCTCTCCTCCCATCTCTCTTCGTTTCTCCCTCTCCATTGGGAGGAGGGGTGGACATTGGCCAGCATGGAAAAAAATGCTTCAGGGAAAACATCATCAAAAGCAAGGCAGGACTACCCTTGACTTAAGCAGGTCTGGAGCAAATTAGAGCAGAGCAGAAAGCATGGTGTCTGTTTCTGTCCTGCTTTGACTCTGTTGACACTAGTTTCATTCCTGTATTGTGTTGACGCAATGCAGTGACACAATACCAGGGTCACAGGTGCAAGGAAAGCTGAACAAATGGCGAGCGTAGACAGTTCTTCAACTAGTGATAGTACGTAATAATATCCTAGTTTTGTCCACTGTTTTGTACAGTAGGATCTCTGTGTCTACAGGGATTGGTCCCAAGACACCCTGCCCATCCCACCGCGGATGCAGAAAAACCACAGAATACTATTTTAATAGTGAACAATATACATAACACGGCATCTGGCTCTTTCCAAGGGCCAGTTCTGGTGATAACACCAGATGGAAATCTACTTTCTCTAGCTGCAGATGCCATACATAGGATAGCCTCTTGGGCCCCCCTAGTGGCTAGTTCTGGTAACTTCGTCATTTTTAAAAGAGACATTTGGGGATTTTCTTTTAATATTTTTCATAATTTTCAGACTGTGGATAAGTCAATCAACAGATTCTGATCCTACAGATGAGGGGTCCCTACTTTATGGCTTTTCTGGCAAGGAGGCCGACTGCTAACGGCAAAGGAGAGGAACACGCACGCATGCACGCAAGCACACGAACACACACAGAGTGCATATAATTGTATAACTAGCATTGCAATGATACGTTTCCCATCTTGATTCTGGTAACACAGTGGATACAGGCCTCGGAAGATGAGTGTGCTGGGATTTTGTGATCAGCAGAAGCCATTCCCCAAGAATTCAATGCTTCCTCCTCACTTATCTATAATCCTCATTGTGGTGGAAGACAATGGATTTTCCTGATGGAAAGGAAGCAGCCCACACTAATTTGCTGGTACAGATCAAAATAGTTGCCTGTGTTTTGGACCTCTTGAGTGCTCAGAGTTCAACATTTAGGACTACATCTCCACTGATTGTCGAGCCCCCATCTTGATGATGTGCTCAGTGGGGAAGGAGGGGACACAGAGAGCGTGTCTCAGTGCTGGGATGTGAAATGTAGTCAAGACTGGAATAAACTTTGCTCTTCCAAGAGGCGAAAGGCTGACAAGATGGGGAATGTGCTAACTGAATGCCAGATGGGGGGACCACAGGAAATGTTCCAAAGTTGTAAAGGGTTCCCGTTGCAGAAAGAATCCAGGAATACAAACTATGAGTCTAGATGGGTTTGCATTAACCAAATCCAAAGCCTGTGCTCAAATGTTTTATTCTAAAACTAGTTTTGCAGACTATTTATTTGTTGTCTGCGCCAGTTGATCTTCAGTAAATAAAATGTGTTTGTTAAACAATTAGATGACCTGGATTATTGGGGAAACTTTGGGTCCAATTTCAACTCGGGAGGCTCTCGGAGGTTGTGCTCATTTGAAGAGCGAGTGAGTCCTTGCAGCTCGACCTTGGCACATGCGCCCTTGCCTTGGCAGAATAGGGTCTTCAGTAAAAGCTGCTGCCTGGAAAGTCCAGGGTTGATTGTGGAAGATGAGGAAGAAGGGTATTTATTTATTTATTTAAAATATTTTTACCCCACATTTCTCCTTAAAAAGGAAACAAGGCAGCTTACATCACTACAATATTTAAAATCCAAAAATAGTAAGTATAGAAATATGAAAAAGAATCAAAAGTATTACACTTAAAATCAACAAAACAGACTCAAAGCAACAAGGAACAGCATTCCATTAAAAAAAATTAACGCAAAAAAACCCGCACACATAAACAAACCCCTCCCAGGCAGCCAATCAGTGAGGGAAAGCCTGCCTGAAGGACACTAAAAGTGGGACCAGCCTGGCTTCCGGTGGCAGGGAGTTCCAAAGTCTAAAGGAGCAGCCACAGAGAAGGACCTCTCGGGTCTCTCCCCCCCCCCCAAACGCACCTGTGGAGATGGAGGAAGGAAGGGAAAGGCC